TAAATTATTAAAATTTATGTCCAAATTCGTTGTACGCCTCTGATAAAAAGATCATTTCTCGTTTCTATAGCAACATTTAGTCTTGACAAAAGTTTCATTGTTACAGTTGCTAGGATTTACTCAAATAAATTAATTTTACCTATTTATGCTTCAGTAGCGTCTAAAAAAGTTGGATAAGGGTTAATTTTCCCCTTATAATTTTGATAACACAAAATAAGTTTTTCAGACTTCTTAGACTTCGCGACGAACTGTCAATTTTGTTGTACGTACCTTTCAATAACACCCTGTATATATTTGAGTATTACAAGGCCATTAGGCCCATAACTTAATACAATTTAGCAAATAATTAAATTAACAATTCTTCTCCAGCTATCCCTATCCTCCGCTCTTCTCGTCCACTGAGTGATTCCAGCCTTCCTTAAATCCGCCTCCACTTCCTTTATCCATCTCTTTCGCGGCCTTCCCTGCCTCCTGCGCCCCCCTATACGGCTCTCTAACAGCTTGAATGGACTTCGGTTTTTACCCATCCTAGCTACATGCCCAACCATGTTGCTCGCTGCCCTGTTACTATTCTAACTACATCAGGCTCATTATACAAATTGTATAATTCCGCGTTTGTCCTCCTCTGCCATATTCCTTCCACCTTTCTGCCCCCAAAAATTTTTCGGATCACTTTTTGCTCCCACACGTCTATCATTTGTTCCTCCTCAACTCCCATCACCCATACCTCACTCCCGTAAGTAACTGTCGGTCTTATTACTGTCTTATATATTCTGACTTTCGTGGCTTTCGAAATATTAGTACTCGCTAGGATGCTGTTTAGCGAGTGTCGGCACTCATACCCGGCAACTTCGTAAACACCTTACCCAAATAACAAAACCTGTCTACCTCTTCGAATTGTACGATTCCGCCGTCACAAGTTTCCACTTTAAAGTCTGATTGTGCATAATCTTCATCATCCCATTTCATATATTTTGATTTCTTCTGATTTATTTCTAACCCTACTTTCCTTGTTTCTCTTTCTAGCTTTCTTACTACTTCCCTTAACTCCTTCTCTGTTCTTGTCACTATTGCAATGTCGTCTGCAAATGCTAACAGCTGGTGCCTTTCATGATATATCAGCCCTGTTCTGTTCACTCCACTATCCCTTACCACCCTTTCTAAAACTATATTGAATAGCACTGACGATAGTGGGTCTCCTTGTCTCAAACCCTCTTTTACATGAAATTCTCTCGACTCATTTCCCTCCACCTTTACTTTACTTTTCGTGTTGCTTACTCCACAAACATTACATGTGTCTTAAGTTTGTTGTCGTAGTTTTCAGCCTGGATTTCGCGTAGCGCAAAAATTTGGTCTATTACGGATCTACCTTCTCTAAACCCACATTGGTATTCTCCTATACTACTCTCGATCTATGCTACTATTCGATTTCTTATACACGTCGCTAATATTTTGTAGACCACACTTAACAACGATATGCCTCTATAGTTTTCATATTCTGACTTTGATCCCTTTTTATGTATTAGGATTATACTTCCCTTTGACCATTCGCTTGGCATTTCCTCTTTGTCCCATACTACTGCTACCAGCTGATATATTTCTTCATAAATTACTCTTCCGCCATATTTAATGAGCTCTGCCAAAATCATATCTTTCCCACTGCTCTTATTATTTTTTAACCTCCATATAACTTCCATTACCTCCTCTCTTTGTAGTTCTTTTCCTTCCACTTCCCCATATTCTTCTTCCCTCGCCACCACCGTAACTCTGTCGTTGTCACCATTAAGTAGCTTCTCAAAATAATTCGCCCACCCTTCCATTAACTTTTGTTCATCCCCAATCCAATGTCCTTCACTATCTTTGCCAAATATCATGTGCTGTTTTCGTGTGCTCCTTACATTTTTCACCTCCTGGTAAAAGTTCCATAATTCTTTATTCTTATACCTGTCTTCTAAATTACGCAAGCGTCGCTCTTCATAAATTCTCTTTTTAGTTCTGCATAACATCTTACACTTCTTCCTTTGCTGTTTATATTTCTCCACTACCTCCGTACTATATGCGTTTCACAATGTCAATAAACATAGCTGCGCTCTTTTTTGCATTTCCTTCCTACGTTCCTCGTCAAACCAAGTCGCTTTCTTTACCAGTCCTTCTTGTGGGATTTGTCTTTCCGCTTCTTTAATCGCTTCCTTAATGCTTTGCCATCTAGTTTCTACTGCGCTTCCATTTCCTCCCATTGTTCTTGCCAGCTGTTCTTGACATGTTGTATCGTCGTTATTTAAATGTTACTTTTTTGGCACTATATGGTATGTTCTGTATCATTTTAATACCCACCAAATAGTGGTCTGAGTTTGTATCCGGCCCTCTGTGTGTTCTTACATTTGTAATCCATTAAAACATGGTCTATTCGGTTTACTACTCTACCATCTGGACTTCTCCAAATATAAATTTCTTTACGCTGAAAAAAATTACTTTTCACCTTCATGTCTCTACTTCTTGCAAATGAAATTAATAACTTCCCATTTTCATTACTCACTTGGTGCTTGCTAAAATTACCTATTGTCGATCTGTACATTGGCTCTTTACCAATCTGCGCATTCGCGTCCCCTAAGACTACTTTCGCATCATATTTGGGAATCCGCCCATATTCTATCTCTAGTTGGCTATAAAATTCCTCCTTTTTTCCCATCTGCATGACCTCCGTTGGCGCATGAATATTTATAAAACTAATTTTTTGATATTCACCCCTCATTCTGAGCATACACATTCTGTCTGAAACTGCCTTGAATTCCACTATTGCAGACTTGAGCCTTACATGGACTAGGAAACCTGTACCTAGCCTTCTATTGTCACCTCCACTACAGAACAAAATATAATTCCGTATTTGTTTTACTTCACAGCTCTTTAGTTTAGTTTCCTGTAGCGCCAAGATATCCAGCTTGCGCATATTGACCTGATTGACTAGATTCTCTACTGCCCCTTCCTCATATATACCTCTCACATTCCATGTCCCCACAAACAATCCTTTCTCCTTAATTTTTACTTGCACCCTTCGCTTTTTTGTTTCTCTTCCTTTTTGGTTAACCTTTTTTCCATGGCCCGTGTCTTTCCCATTGCCATCATATTTGTTTCTCCCACTGTTTCGACTGTTACTAGTTTTTTGCTCGTTCGTCCGTCTTCGCCCTTACTAATACTTCATCTACTGGGTTCCATTTCCAGCCTTCCCCATCAATTATTATCTTCTGGTACATGACTTTCGCTGTTTTCCTCATCGCCCTATTTTCTCTTGCTATTTGTCTCAGCTTCCACTGTATTTCTCTCTCCATACTCGTCATATCGTCCTCGATAAACTTCTTACTACCCTTCAAGTTTTTCTTATTCTTCATTATCAACATTTTCTCTTGCCAGTTGTTGACTTTGGCTATTATTAAAAGATTTGACTTCTGGGTTTGTAGTTGATATACGCTTCCCAGACCAACTTCGTACTTGCTAATATAAGTCTTATTTTGGCAAATGACATATTCTCTGAGAAAATAGGGGGTGGGTGGGCGGTGCTAGTACCTACTTGGTATAAGATAAGTTGGTAAATGACATACTCTCTAAGAAAATATAGAGCGGACGGCTGGGGCTAGTACCTGCTAAGATAAGACTGATTTTGCAAATGACGTATTCTCTAAGAAATTTAATTAAATTATTATAAGAAAAGACACTAGAGGCTCCAAAGCACTCTCAAATTTTTTTCGAAGCAAGAATACCTAGAACCTTAAGATTGTCTGAAATTTTTGAAAAAGAAAACGGGGTCTCAAAATTAATTCAAAAACAGGTCAGGTCAGAATTATCCGAAAATAGAACACCAAAGCCCCCCAAAATTGTTTTAAATATGTAATAATGCTCAAGAGATTTTTTTCAAGTTCATCCAGCAAGAACACACCAGATTCCTTTAAATTAATCCGAAAATCAAACACCTAAAATTAACTGCGAACATTTTAAACGTAGGGTTTTGAAAACTTTGACCATTTTTGATACGTCAGTTTTAGTTGCTTTAATTGTTGTCAAATGGAATTTTATCAAATTATTACAAAAACAACACAACCATATCTTTGTACACTTAAACTGAAATGGTAATTACACATGGTCTTGGTCATGGGCGATGGAAATATTAACTAAAAGATTTATTACGAGTTATTGTGATAAACAATGTTTTGTTTAGTTGTTAACCGCAGTAAAAGAACCAATTTTAAAATCATTATAACTCCACCAAAGTGTGAGAAAGAATTTTTTTATTATTTTTCCCAGACTCACTAGTTGATTGTTAAGAGCGTAGCGGACAATTAATCCGGCATTTTCCAGACACCCGGTATAGTTGATGGGGATGACTAGACGAAGTTTAGTTAGCATTTTACCATCTACGCAATATTCCTAACATACATATAAAATCTGACAACAATCGGTCCGGTAGTTTCGAAGATCGTTCTAATAAAAATCGAGACAGATGACAGATAGCAGATGGTAGCATCATTATTAAAAAAAAACAATGTATGTTATTGTTATAATGACCTTAATTCGGATATTCATCTGTGAAATAGTTGATTAAATTGTTCTCAGAAGTGAAAAATCATCTAAAGTGGAATTTTTGCAACGCAAAGCAAATTATTTTTCCATCAGCCACAGGATTTAACTTATTCACACAGTGATAAAATATTCTAAAACAGTGTTGAGTGTGCATATACGCCACCTAGTAACACAAACAGAAAGTCTGCAGTTCGAATGCTTACTTAAATCAAATGCAAGATCTACTGTCTTCTACTAACAAATCCGTTTAACGCGCATTAAATTCTACCTGGTCGACACGACCTTTAATTTTTTTGAGTAAAATAAAAGTCATATTTACAATCGTAACTTTTCCCGAATTAACATTTCTGCGGTTTTAAGCCCTTCACGTATAGCACAAAACGAAAAGAGAGAAAACTTTCGTCTTAACAATAAAAAAGAATGTTTACCTGAACATCGTTGATGAACCAAGTAATATTCATGGGTGGGAAAGACCCCGGCGTTGTGCAATTAGCCTTTATCCTAGCCCCTATCGATTTTTCCTGAACTTCTGTCCTCAGCACTGGGCCTTCTGTTGGCACATCTGAAAAAATAGCGATTGGAGGGCGATAAGACAGAGATGTAAAGCCAATTATGTTATTACACAGTAAACAGCTCATCAATGGCAATAATTGAGCAACAGTGAATGGCAAAGCTAATTTATCGGTTTCGACTGATACATTGCTTAAAGAGCCGGCAATTCACTGATACCGCAGCTATTTGCTTTGAGAGTGTCAACGTTTAATGGCCATAAGGACGGCGTTTGAATTTACGGTTTATTGTCAAAGGATAAAGATTTTTAGATTCCTGAGCAGATGTTGGAGTAGGGTATTTCCGACGGACATAAAGGCTTAAGGTGTCTTCTATCAGGACGAATAGGGTCTCTAAAGTTTAATAATACCTGCAACAAGTAAATTCGCGGCACGTATGTCGGTATGAAAGCGTGGTGCATCCGCTGAAACTTCACACTTAAATTCTCCAGAAGTCTCCCTCTTCACGTCCGTTAAAGTCACTAGAGTTGAGTTGGATCTTGACATCTGCAAATAAAGTGGATTTTAGCGGGGATACCTAAATGAGGGAAATGTTTGTCCAACTGAGACAACAATTTAATTTTTGTTTAATACCATAGACGAAACTTGATTACTAGTCTAGGAGAAGGTTATGCAATCCGTTCCAGATTTATGTACATGTAGAATAATTTATTTATGTCTCTCGAGAGACTTGGCGGACTTCAGAAAGCTTATCAGCGTCTAACATGCCCCCTTATTATCCAGACTGTCGAGTCAATGAACAAGATAATATGTAAGATCTTTAAGAGGGTAAAACATAAAATCAAATTCCTTTGTTAACAATTTTATCAGTGAACCGGGATATATTTGCAGGGTGGTACTGTAATTCTATGGAAAGCTGGTAAAGAATGCCTATAAATAAGTGAAAATCACTGCCGAATTTGGTAGTAAGCTTTTAGGGTTGTTTATATTACTCTCAGCGTAAAAGCGTCCGTCAAATTGTGTGTGTTTGCTTGGTTTCCAGGGCTGGATTACGGCGCCACGTCCGATAATATAGGATTGGTATTCTAATTTAACATTTCATTTGTTCGCTTCTTATTAACAATAAGTAGACATTGTATTTGATGTTTATTCTCCATAATGTAATGTAGATACATTATTTTTCAACTATTAAGACCTACTGTCTGAAAATGTATCTTTTACTTAATAAAATGATTAGAAAAGTAGTAGTGAGCATCCGATGAATGATTATGCAATTTAAAAAGACAAAAATTAAGAATATTTTCCGAAAAATAATAGAGGTCAAAAACTGCTACAGTCAAGCGAAAACTAAATTCGAAATTAAAACTTTATCTTAAAGTTCTTGTTTCTTCAATTCTGATTGTAGATGTTTTTCCTCTATTATTTGTTTTTCTTGAGTCGTCATGTTTCAGTCGAGTATATGCATTTCTCAGAACATTTTCTTTCCCAAACGTCGTATTTTTTACCTTGTATTTTTTACAAATTTTTCGAGTCCGGTACTGATCGCTTCGCAGGAAGAGACGCCGAGTTTTATTAAGGTTTGCGGTTGGTCACGCTGTGAGGGGTTTTAAAAGTTAATAAAGAATTTTGCAATTTTTATGTATTTTTAGCCGTACTTTATAACAATGAGTCAGTGTCATAACCAAATTTCGATAATTTGTCCGTGATAAAATTTAGTCTTAAGGGGACTCGCTAGAGGACGTAAAACAATTTTTTTCTTTTTTAATATATATGTATTATACTTTAAACTGCAGTTTTTTTCATATTCTAAACCCATGAAAGCAGTTCAATCAATCAAAAAAATGTAACATGAAATATCGTAAAAAACACCATTGTCTTCTGTTTCTTCCTCTTAGTTTGTATATTAAATATCATAGAATACTCACAGTGACAAAGTAACGTATTTTAAAGTCCTTCGTCATGTTAAATATTTGTTAGTGGTATAATTTATTTAAATAATAATGTCTTTATTAAAATCAAAATATACCATGGGTTTGAATTCAACACATTTTAAGTGGATATTTCAGGGTCTTACCGCTAGGAGCGCAACTGTATTTAAACAGGCCAGACAAACAGCCTTTCTGAGAAGGTCGACAGCCTACCCTAAAGTAATTATTATTAGCGTTTTCGGTTGATTTTTCTAATTTATGACAACGAATTCGATTTTATACAAGTCAGACTGCTATTATGTCGATTATTATCTTAGAAACTGGTAGATTTGGAGTTAAATAATTGTTAATATTCCTAGTCCTTGGTAGATTAAGAATGTATGTACTATTTTATTATTACTACAAATTCACTGTAATATTTTTAATGAATGTTTTGCGTTGCTAGTAATAAAAGTACATATCAATTGTTTAATAAAATTTAGATGTCTGGGGTAAGAATTCAATATGAATTTATAAACCACAAGTACAGGTGTATCTTATTCTGTAAAATTTAAATAACATTAATCGGCAAATGATGAGCTCATTAATTTTTTGGTAGGGGACAAACAAATAAATTTTGATTATCCTTTTGCCATACTTACGATAACCTTAAAACGTTTGCAAGAATTCAAAGCATTCGGTTTTGCGGTCAGATACGTATGTGGAAAAGAACTAAAATATGTAATAAATTATTATTTAGTATGAAGTCAAAGAAGAAAAACATTAAAATTAAAAAACCAAAATAAACACAATAAAATAACGGGCAATATGTTTAATGACTTGAACAGACACAAACGTTATGTTAATTTTTATACATACATTTCATTCCGAAGTTTCGTCCTGTGTCATTTTCAAAATGTCAATATTCGTCAGTTTTTTCGATTGCTTGCTGGATCAAATTGATCTGTTAATGAAAAATACTACTTCCCATCTAAATGATATGTGATGAAGAGGGAATTCAAAGATACAGAAGTAGACTAGAAAAAAAGAAATTCGAAGTAAAAGAAGATATAGAAGCTATGATGATGGAACTGAGCAACCTAATTATAGAAGCTACGGTAAAAAGAAAGATATACATATGGCAAGGGAGGAATAATGGATGGAACGGAGAATGTAGTGAGTTGAAGAAAAAAGCAAGGAAAAAATTAAGAAAATGGAAGAATAACAAGGGAAGGAAAGAAGAGTACCTAAAAGCAAGAGAGAATTATAGGAGAAAATGAGAAGAAAGAAAAAGATAAAAACGAGAAGAAGAAGAGAAGACAATAAAGTCCCTGAAAACAGAAGAGCAAGTATGGAGATGTATAAACAAGGAACGGAGAAGGAAGACTGAAGTCAGCGGGAAAATCAAAATACATAAATGGAAAACACACTATGGAATTATTGGGAGGTTGTGAGGAAAAATGCTGCAAAATAAATAAAGGAATCACAACGACGGAAGAAATGTGGAGAGGTTCGGAAATAACAAAAGATGAAATAGAAGACAGATTGAAAGACTGAAAAAAGGAAAGGCACCAGGAGGGGATGGAATCCAGAACGAAGCGTGGATGTTCGGGACAGAAGGAGTGAAAGCAAAGATATGGGAAGTGGTAAATGGAGTTTGGAAGGGAAAAGGGTTTCCTCGGCAGTGGAGAGAAGGTATAATAATCCCATTATTTAAAAAGGGGCAAAAAAGTGATGCGAAGAACTACCGAGGGATTACCTTGCTCAATACGCGTACAAGATATATGCAATGATACTCGATGAGAGGTTACGAAAGGAGATGGAAGCAAGGGGTATGTTACCAGACGGTCAGGCAGGGTTTAGGAAAGGAAGAGGTACTATGGACAATGTGTACATCCTGCGGCATTTAGTGGGAAGAGAAATAAGGAAAGAGTGTGGACGAATGTACGCATTGTTCATAGATTTCAAAGCAGCGTTTAACAGCGTGAATAGAGAGAAAATGTGGGAGTATTTGAGGAGAAAGGGAGTAGATGCATACTTGGTAACGAAAATGGAAGAAATATATGAAGAAACAGTAAATACGGTGAGAGTGAATGGAATAGAGAGTGAGAGTTTTTATACAAATAGAGGAGTGAGACAAGGATGCCCACTCAGCCCCGCATTGTTTGCAGCTTATCTAGGAGATATAGATGAAATGTTCAGAAAAGCACAGACAGGAGGGGTGGTAGTCGGCAAAGAGAAAGTGTGGTCGTTGGCGTATGCAGATGATTTGGTGATTGTGGCAAAGAAAAGAGAAGAAACGAAAGCAATGATTAAAAGTTTGGAGAAGTATGTAAAAAAAAGGAATTGGAAGTGAATGTGGAAAAAACAAAAATGGTGGTGTTTGTGAAGAAATTAAGAAAGGAGAAGGAAGAGTGGGCATGGAGAGGGAAGAACATTGAACAGGTGAAAGAATTCCAGTAAACTTAGGATATACATTAATGAGCAATAACTCAGATAAAGCGCATATTCAAGAAATGGTCCAAAAAGCGAACAAAGTGATAGGAATAGTATGGGGAATAAGAGAGAGAAAATTTGGACATGATTATAAGAGAAGAATGATGATGTTTGATAGTTTGATCAAAAGTGTATTTATGTACGGAGCTGAGATTTGGGGATGGAGGGAATATGAAGAAATAGAGAGAGTGCAAGAAAAATACTTGAAATGGACATTGGGATTGGAAAAGTATACGCCGGGGTATATAGTGAGAGAAGAAACAAAAAGGGAGAAAATGAGAGTGGAAGCAGGTAAAAGGGCGGTTGGATTTGAAGAGAAGTTCAGTGAGAGTGGGAGAGCTGATTGCAAGATATTGCAAGAATGTTGGAAAGAAATAAGAAAGGAAGAAGGAAAACATGTTTGGAACGAAAGGGACAAGTATTATGAAGGAAAGGGATATGCATGTGAAGAAATAGAGAGAATGAGAGAAATGAGAAGGAGTGTGAAAGAAGAACTGAGTGTAAGAGATAAGGATATAGATCAGCAAGAACGTAGAGCGAGAATATCGGAGTCTAGATATAATGCAGACTATAGAAAAATAGTAAAGGATGAAGTACCAAAGTACAGAGAGAGAGAGAGTATAAAGGAGAAAAGAATGATGGCGAGATTTAGGTGTGGAAATGAAGAGAAAGAGAATAATTTTTGGATAGATGAAACTGACAGAAGGTGTAGGATATGTTGGAGAGAGGGAGAAACAATAGAGCATATGCTGGAAGGATGTGAAGGATTGAGAGAATCGGAGGAAAGCAGGGAAGAAGTGCTAAACGAGGATGGAAGAGGACTGGATTGGATGAAAGAAGTATGGAAGATAAGGGAACTATGGCAAGGGGTGGGCAAGCAGAAATAATAGAATATTTATTATATAACACTCGAATTTTTATTTTATTTTATTCATTTTTATTGTTATTGATTTATCTGATGTAGATTAAGTTAATATGTACCCCTACTGGGAATATCATTAAGCCTGTAAGGCAAATAATAAATTACTACTACTTCCCATTTAAAATCTACCCACAATAAATTTTTTAAATAAAAATTCATTCTTGTTAAAAAATCACTCTACTATTAGAATTTTCTGTAATCAAATCAGGAAATTTTTATCT